ATTTAAGTGCATCTAAACTTTGCGATACGCCGCGAACGAATTTCCACGTCTATCGTGATATCAAATAAAGGTGTTAACAAACGATATTGGTTCGAATTATTTATCCAGCACTATACCCGCGACAAACATCCCCAAAAGCCGCATAGTCTCGAAGATAATTTGTTGATGTAGACTTAACATAAATCATAACTGGGAATCTGACATTTGAGGCTTGAACGATTATTACGCAAGCTGAGCCGCAGTCTCACTCGACGATAGACATTGACTGAGCCAGTCTGAACCAATGGTGGGACAATGGTGGGACGGTCTTCCTGAAAGAAATGGAGAATGCGTAAATATGAAGACATATATAAATAGATAGATGCCTAATTAATATAGACATGCATGAGCCAATGAAGATTTAGAAATTTTAGCAACTTTTTAACGTGTTATGATGAGATTTGCAATCAACAATTCCATTATGTAATTTTATTTTCTATTTTCTTGTACAAATATGCAAAAGATGCTGGGTAACACATTTGTAACGAACTTCAACCCCCATACATGAAGAAATAAATTGGACTTTCTTCATATTTTTGGGATTGACGTATTATAAATTTTAGAACACATTATTATGTTTTTAATATTAATATATCAGTGTTTATTCACTGTATTTATTAGTTCTTCCACTGCGCTTTTAAACGTGAGAACTGTGGTTCGTCATCCATCTTAAATATGTGAAGGATAAAATTTCTTTTGGAAAACGAAATGTTATTTCTATTAATTTATTAATCAAGCATTTGTCAACCTGTAAATACATGTCTAAAAAATAGGATTTTTACAAAATATTTATTAATCAATATTTCGTTAGAATTGAATGTCAGATAATAGTCAATGCGTTTCAAAATGATTAAAATATTTTGCAAATATTTATTTAAGTATATTTTTTAATACAGGATATATTTTGCCTTTAACTTTCTTAAATTTTTATTTATAATTTGTCTTTTTTAAAGTAAATATCTGTGGGAATACAAATATATTATCACATTTACAATTTAATATAGTCATAGTTGTGGCAAACTACTTTCTCCACTTCAGAGACGACTCATCGGATAAGACCGATCGATTTACACACTATATTTGACGATCGACCAATTCCTTTTGTAAGTAAAAAAGAAGTATAATGTATTATACTATAAATATACTATACAATGCAATGCGCGAAACGTGCTCACTTCAAAAAAGTTCCAAAGTTGTACGAAAAAAATTTCTTGTCCGAAAGTTGTATAGTTTGGAGACAATATTCTGTGATGTGTGTATCTTTTTCTTTTTTAACAAGAGATTTCGTCGTTATTTCCATTATTTTAAAAAGAATGATATACTTTATAATCTATCGAATCAATGAGTGCAGCTCGATAATAAAAGATATCGATATTAAAAGATATCGACTAACGTAAGTTGAATAATTATAAGTTTAAGAGGTATTTTAACTTTATATTTAATTAAAATTTATTTTTCGAAAAACGAGAACAGTATGAATACAAGAATACTTCCCTTATCCCTCCTCATTGATTTTACAGAATTAAGTTAAAAACGCTTAAGTTATTCTTTTCATAGAGAATATCAGGATGCAATGTGTGAAAAATTATATAATTTCATTTAATAAAATAAAGTTAACACTAATGTGTATAGCTACAAACAAATTAATTGCATTAGATTATCCCCTGCGAAACAAAATAAGTTTGGTAAGAAACATTTATTCAGACAACGAATATTTCTGGAAATAATTGCATTTATTGATTAAAGTGCATTGCATATGTTCCAAATGATATCACCCGAAGAGTTAATACAGAATTGACATATTAACTGCGAATTGTTATTGAATTGTGAGCTAGAACATTTTGAATATTAGTTTTTTAGTCCTTGAGATTTTTATTTTAATATTTTCAAAATACATTAGTGATAATAAGTTTCTCATTGCAACATAAATATTTGCAATTGGATTTGATTTTAATTGTTGGATTTAAGTTTCATTCAAAATACAATTTATCCTTTCTGGCACCTAAGAAAACCATCACTTATCTGAAACAATCAGAATAACTATATTTTTATAATGTAAAATTTAATACAAAATATAAATTAGTATGCATGTATAGGTAGTAAAATTATTCAAAATCAAAATTTGTTACTTCATCAATATTTGAAATTCACAGAAAACACGATAAACTTGGCTATTAATTTTTTAATTTCTGTACTACTCAAAGACCAAAAGAAGCACATTTATGTGACTCAAAAAAACTTAAAACTTATTTGCAATATACAAAAATAGAGTAGCTTTAGACGACAAATAATTAGAGAAGAAGTTTTGCGCGAAACCAAAGAAGTAGATAACCATAATTGCTGCTATCAATGTTTTTAATGTCAAAATGTTTAATAAGAAGGTAGTAAGAATACTACGTATTTAAATTCAAAATTATACCTATAAAGAATAGATCAATTAACCTAGATACAATTAATAGAGGGCGTGGTTAATTAATACGACTTTGTGTAATACAATTAAAATATGTCTATGCAGTTAAAGCGACCAAGTCATTCAACTAAAAATAGATGAATTGATTATTTCTGGTCTTCAGGCACAATTTCAACTCGATTGATGCAGTGTTTAGATAAGCGATTGTGGACAATTATAAAATTGCCTTGGAATTCTATAAACAAATTACTCGAAAATTTAGAATTTCTGCAAACAAAAGCAAGAGCAAACAATATTTCTCCTGTACAGTCTTTACTGCATTTGAAGGCAATATTTTAGGCTATAAGGGTCGTTACACATTGTTGAGCAATCGTCACGCGTCTAACGTCGTAGGCCAAACTTGATTTTAAAATCATATCATTATCATAATATTGTTGAACAGAATGGACATCGAGGAGTATTATAATTATGAAATTACTTTCCAAAGAAAACGAGAAAGGAAAGTATATTAAGCAAGGTCGCTTATTACAAGAATTTTGCAATAAACAAATATATAAATATAAATATGTAATAAATATATAATTCTTTAGAACCTAATGATTTTCGGTGATTGCGATAGATAATGCGTAAAGGGACGTACTTAATTCAAAGATGATACCTTTAGTCATGTGAACTCATAATGGTTGGGAAATCATGAATTCATAATGAATGAACTCCAGGTATACTTTTATTCCGGTGCATTATTTGTAACACATCCCAAATGCGTGCGATGTTAAGATAAAGTATCGTCATTTAGTGGCAATAATAACGTATATTAACTGGTGAATCATGTTTTCGTATGGTCCGCTAATGTACTATAATCGATGTCATTATTTCTGAGTGGAATACAATAGCATAAAGAAGGACCAACATAATTTGAATTGCTGAAAAAGTATATCTTTCTCATTTTATGTATTTTGGATTCTCACGGAAATATTTCTTACCGTGCTCAAATTTTTGAACGTAGGTACCCATATACCATAGAAATTTAATACTGCTGAGTGATGGTTTCCTTGCATAATAAAAAGTAGCAATTTCTGTATTGATAATGATAAATTATACCATTCCACAGTATACCTGAGAAAATCATTGAGATTAGTTGACGAAAAAGAAATAGAATAAAACGTAATATTTGATATAATTGGACATTCTACAGTATATCTCAGAATTTTCTATTTGTAAACAATGCATCTTTGTTTAAGAATTTACTTGTTTGCATAAGCTTGTAGGTTGTTTCACGCAATTGTCGTTCAAAGTAACTTTTCGTTGCCGATGGAACTTACTGTATTTCGAGGAGCACATTATGGTAAACAAAATATTGTTTACCATATATCGCTGGAATGTGCCACTAATTTAATCTTTTAAATGAAATAAATGAACACTCGAAAATGTATCCAGAAGTGAAAATTCGACGATCGGAATTTCCGACTCTTCCGAAATTTCCGACAGAGTCGGGTTTTCCGAGAATTCTAAAATTACAAAAGGTGGAGCATGAAATAAAAGAAATAATTAATTATGTGATAACCAAATGTAATATTTTGTTTTAAATTTTCGTTCAAAAAAGCTAATTTTTGAGCAATCCGATTCTATTGAAAATCCCGACTTTTTTAGAAAATCCGAACATTTTCCGGTATCATTCCGGAATTTAACGGAATCTGACCCGAATCTGAAAAAAATACCTGATTCGACCTACTATTTTCGAGTTCTCTCACACAACTCATTTTTTCAAATGAAACTAATTTGCGATGTTGTTTGTTCATTCGAATGTTACTATTTCATTGGTACTTTGTACTTCTACACACTTTCATCTTTTCTTCATTCTTGATGTATATACGGAGTAATCTGTTTTAAGGAAATAGATGAGTAAAGCACATAAATGGAACAATAAATCTGAAAACTCTTCCGTTCCGAGATCACGATGAAGTTTTGTAGGAGTATTATTTATGTTATAAGTAAAATTTACTCAAACGAATCGTTGAAATCCATTTCTCCTCTAACAATATGTACTTTTCTTAAAAATGGTTCAAAAATTACTATATTTCAAATTCAATATATTAATTTAATACATATTTAATACATATTTAGCATATATATTAGTATAATCCAAATTTTTTCACATAAGGCAGTAATTCGATTTTTCATCAACAGTGTTATTGTGGTAAATCAAATTTTTAATTTATTCTGATAAAAGTCCAAGTTACGTTCGAAATTCTGCATTTAACAATCATTCTGTTGTAGTTAATATTCGACATAAACAAAAAGTCTTTATTTCTCGAAAAGAAAGTGTTTTGAATATTTTGGTCACCATAGTATGATCCTATTATTTCTTTAGTGACAACAGAATATTATACAAGTAACATAAAAAATTCCTATCCTAAGACACCTTTTATAAAGCTATTATTTATAATGTGCAAATGATGTATAATATATATAAATTTATATATATATATATACACATATATAAAATATATATATAATATATATATATATATATATATATATATATATATATATATATATATATATATACAATATACAACCACATATAGAATGAATCTCATATAAAGAGTAATAAAAAAACACTTATTAATTCAAAGTTAAAAATTTATCAAATACCAATAATTATTTTGCGTACTTACGGAATATAAAAGAATTTCTGACTTTCGTCGAATATGCATTGTATTGTATAGTATGCATTAATAACGAACACTGTAATATGTATAATGACAACAAAGTTCATAATCATGGCAAAGCTATGTCCATGGGATTTCGTCCTGAAAATCTAGACAGAATATACTATAAACGTAATAAAATTCAAATCTGACAATTTCTAAAATGAAATACAATAGTTTGAAGTTTTCATATTTGAAGCAAATATGTCAATACAGATGTATTACAATATTATTAAATTTTGCGTAGAAAGGTTTCTCTGACATATATTTCATTATTTTTCAGAGACTACTCTAACTAAGATTCAAAGATTTGTCATTATTTTATCATTTACATTTCATCAAGAAACCTTCCAATTTCAATCATTAGAAATCTTAAGTTAGTCGTTGCTTTAAATCTCGAATCTTACATTTTGTCCAGATAATTGCATAATTGCGTAATCGCAACAGGCGATTACGTGCCTTAATCTTTGTACAGCTAGTTGAAACAATTTATTTTCCAGATTAAAAATCGTCAGATTTCTGTCATATTATGTATGCGATGTTTTCATTACGGTGATGTTACTTACATTGAACATGGTCACTGCGTAATATATTGACCATGTTACAAATGCGAATAGGCAGGAGAATGAAAAATTGTGTTTGAGATACTTAATCCAACTGCAAGAAAGAATGAATTAATGTAATATAAGCATGTCACGCAATGTGATGAGTTTAATTTTGTGTTAATGCAGAAAAGCTTAGGAAAACATTTAAAATATTTAAGTTTAAAGATAGCAAGTATTCGCAAAAATGAACTTTGCATAAATATTGGCATATTAGCACTTAACTGAGAAGATACTAACTTTCTTATTAAGTCATAAATTTCCATTGATTTTATTATTTTGTTGCGCATAACGATATCCTTCTTGGAAATGGCTATTTCTATTAAATTTCCATCCACGGCATTCTTTATTCGGTAACTAATAAGTAATTATAAGGAATTGTAAAAAAGTTCGTAATATCCAATCGTTATTTATATAGAATCAAAACTATACTCACACAGCAATTTTGTATAATCCATCTGTATGTAAAGTAGTCAATAAAAAGAAAATATCATGACAATGAAAAATTATTATAATCAAAATATTTGTAATGTTCGTCAAAATGACAATCAAATAATAATTTTGAGATTTTGCGAAAAATATCATTGAAATAAACGGTAAATAACAGAAAGTTTTGTTTGTAGATATCTTGAGAATGCGATGTGAAAGAGACGCCGTCAAAATAACAATGAAAAAACTGGTACAAATTATAACTGCAATGCATCCTAAATGTAAAATATTATCATTATACATTTATGCGAAACGTCGCCTTGTGCGAAGATTAATTTACTTCTTACTTAAATAAATATTTATATAACGATTTCCCATTCCTACATATGTTTTAAATTCTTCTTTGTCTTGTATATGATTCCAATCACGTTTTATATTCTCTAACCATTTCTCTACCTTAAAAATACCAGAAAATGTTACATGATGACACGATATTATAACGACTAGATTAAATTAATTAAACTCTTGTAACTTACGTTTACAGATTTCACAAGTAATAAACCATATGTTATATTTGTATTTGCTATTAAAACTGTGTTACTTGTTTGCAATGATAACATTTGAAAAGTGCAAGTGTTATTTTCCACGAGAGAAAACTGCAACGATTGATAATATAAATGTAAACAAAAGATTAATTTTTTCGCAAGTAATGCATTGATATATCAGAAAACCGGATAAAATAATTGTATTTCGTACGAATGCAGTATGCTTACCACGACAAATGTTGGCCCGAGAAGAAGTGTCAAACATACGATCGTAGTAAAAACTGTCTCCATAGTATAGGGGAAAGTGTCAATGAAACCCAGGTTTTCTCGCATTTCCAAGCTTTACGGCAACGTATGTTGCAGCATGAAAATTACAGATTACGAAAAGAAGAGTCAGTTCTTTACTGTCGTTTGGGAAGTGAAGTTAGAATTTCTCTTAGGGCTATTGCACTGTTGTGCATTTCATTTTTTCCGCGTTTTGCAAAGTATTAAAAACATTCTCCTCGAGCTGCGCAATATTTGTGCTAGACATAATAGATATCATGAAGTCTTTCATAAATCTCGTGAAGTGTTACATTTTATGAAAACTTTTTACAGAAAGTGCTATTTTTTTTTTTTTAACTTACTGCTTTTTACTATGACAGAATATTTTTATCCTGTTCTGGATTGCAATGGCGGGGACCATTGCCAAAATAACAATCTAGATTAATATTATCGTGGGTACTGAATTAAGAACATCGTTGAAATATTGTACGACCAATATTGTTGTTGAAATAAAGAAAAAATGTAGTGGTATGTATTTAGCTGCTTGAAGTTTGTATTGTATCTTTGTATTGTTTGTATGTTTGAAAGTTGAATACACCTGCCGATTAATTTTAATTTTATTATGCTCTTCAATATTACATTTATTGTGATACAACGAATTTTTAAATTTCTTGTATTCTTATCTTCTAATATTCTTACTGAGTTCATTGTTACTTCGAATAAGAAAGCCTGCGAATTATACTATATACTTGATATATTTATAAAAGACATGATTGTAAAATATATTCTCAAGTAGCATCAGCAATGATACTTCGAAACATACTTTAACTTTGAATTTTAGACGAAAATGTTACGATGTTTTGAATTTTCGTCATCTGCTTGATATTTAGATTAGTAAAATAACAATGAAAGAATCATACATCAAGTTTTCTGAGGTTATTACAAATTCATTGTAGATTCAATCATAAATGAAATTTTTCGATACTTCTGCGTGCTGCAACAATTTATAACATTTTCAAGATGAAAAATATCTTCATTTATCCACCCGTTACGTAATGTAAAAATATTTTACTTTAAAATGAATTTTGAAAATGGAAACTTCAAGTTTTAAAATAAGCTCAGATTTACTATTGTATTAATGTTCTATTTTACAAAATTACTGTTTTAATCATACTGTTTGTGTAGTTTAATATTCGATTAATAATTTTTACGATTTTCTGCTACTTCTGAGTTTAAGATTTTCGCTCTGTTTTTTGTTTGTTGTTAGAGAAACTTGTGTTAAAAAAATTTTCTTGGGAGGAAGATGTTGTTCAAATTGTCGATTTCTACAACATTACAACATAATTAGAACTTAACGAGATCGGTGAGAGAATGGTTAACCTACTAATTTACCAAATCTATTCACTCACTTTCAAATGTCTTTGAACGTTTTTTTAGTTTTAATATTCAGTAAATTTTTATATTAGTATATTATATTATCATTAATGCATTAATGCTTTACAGGATTTTTACTCTACAAAATATTATTTAATTTTTCCAATTTTAATACAAATATGATAGGTACTGTTCTAAGATGTTAGAATCGTGAATACAAAGGAATGATTGAGTAGTTTGAACCCAACATACACGAATGCTTAACAGTTATTTCTCATGCATTCTGACATTTGGTGAAAAATTAATTGAACATGGAAGGATGCTGGATTTAAATTTAACCGAATTGGAGAACGAATGAGCATTCGTTCGTTTCATTCAAACGTACCATTGGAAATGTTAGGTAAAGTGTATAAGTTATGACACTCCTAGAAGTCAGGAATATTTTCTTGTTTATTGTCATTTTTTAATTGTTGACGACGATATTTCGAATATTAAATATTTCATAGTCATCTACAGCTTGGCTATTTTATTTTATCTTTCTGAACATACATTACTGATTGTCTGTTATTGTAATATATTTGCATGAATTTCATTTAGAGATAAGTTTAGGTTATTCCTTCTTTCAAGAAAATCTATACCATTTATTTGAAAAAACTAAAATAAATATATTTTTATGTCGTGCGTATTAAATATAACACATATGTACATAGATTAGCGGGATTAGTATATTATTTAATTATTTTGAATTTCAAATTAGTTATCATATTAATATTCGAACCTCAAGAGAAAAATATGACAAATCTATATTTGTTTATTTTCTCTAATTACTTTTAAAGTATTAATTATAAAAACTATTAAATATTTATCACTGTCAACATCGTTAATATGTTTAATTAGATAGCAAAAACACATTTTTAAGCTTCAAAAAGAGTTCAAGTAAGGTAGAATTAATTGGAAATATACCAAATGTTAAAATTGCGTTTTTGTACAGAATATTCACAGTTAACCGATTGGGAAATAATGTTGCATGTAAAAATGAGTCGACAAGAAAGAATACAATTTGTTTATTAAAGCCTGCGTTTTCGACGAAAATCGTATTTCAAAAATTTGTCAAGCATACTTAAATTTAACTAATTCTAAATGTGATAAAGAAAAATAATTTTAGCAGGAGATTGTTCTACGTATGAGAATAAATAAAAAATGTGAAATAGAACTTTTTCGTAAAATGCTTTGCTTCGAAGAACATCGAATTTGAAAATTTATCAAACACACGTATACTAAACCAATTTTTAATGAAACATATACAGAGTTTATTTTTTTAAAAATGACTTTTTAAACGAAAACATTTCATTCTATTTTTTTCACTTATTTTTGCACATAGAATATCCCCGTGCCGGTTTTTCGCACCATCTCTTGTTCGGAATTAGTTAAATTCAAAATAAATTGATAAGTTTTTAAACTTACTTTTCTCAGAAACAAAAGAATGTTATAAAAATTGAATTATATTATTGTATTTATTATTATATCATTACACTTCTCTTATAATATTACATTAAGAAAAAATTTTTGTTGTTTCTTTTCGATACTATTTGACATGCAGAATTGTTTCCAGTTATAGTACGGAACACATTTTATATAAACGACAGATACTTCCCCCTCCCCCAATTCTCTTTAATCGATTTTGAAGATAATACCTAGCCAATAAATAATGGTATTTCTCACGTGAATGAATGAATTGTAATGGACTTTCAACTTTTAACTCAATACAAGTACATCCGATGTTAATATAAAATATCATTTTAGTAGCAATAATAACATGTCAACCAATCTGCTGTATTTCTATTCAATCTGTAAGTATACTATAGTCGTTGTCACTATTTCTACATGGAATGCAGCAGCGTAAAGTGAAACCATAACAATTTGATTTGCTGAAAAATATTTGTTTCTCAGTTCGTGTATTTGCAATTTTCACAAAAGTGTTTCTTACCACGTACAATCTATAGAAAGTAGGTACACACATATAGCAGATATTTAATACTCTTAATTGATGACTTCTGTATAATGAAAAGTAGCAATTACTGTAGTAATAATGGTAAATTGAGCCATTCTGATTAGTGCAATATATCTGAGAAATCCGTATTAAGATTAGTACACAGAAATGGCATAAAATGCCCTATTTGATACAATTTTAATATTTTCTACAGCATATTTCAGAACTTTCTGTTGACAAAAATGTTTTTTTGTTTAAGAACTTATTTTTTAGTAACTTTTATATATAATTTTATGAGCTTGCTGATATAGAGGAAGTCTCATTTCAATTTTTCTACATAATAATCTCTCAAACCATTGGTACCTGTCGAAAAATATTCCTAAAAATTGAACATGGTCCCTAGATCTGATAGAGTGATTATCAATTTTAATCGAGACCTGGTAGGATCCCTTTTTGGTTAAAGTGAATAAGAATAGCCTTTTCAGGTGCTAAAGATAAACTAAAATGGTCGAGATTGGTACCTAAGGTGGTAATGGTTTTTTCGAAAGTTTTTTTATTTTTGCTAGGTATTGTAACTGGACTGTCATCCGCGAACTGTGAAATTTGGATAGAAGGATTTAGATCGACTGTAATATTAGTAACGTAAATAAGATATAGGAGAGGGCTGAGGACTCCACTTTGGGGCAGACCCTTAAATACTTTTCTTGTGAAAGTATAGAAGTCGTTGACGACAAACATGACATTACAATCGTTAGAAAGCTTACGGGACAACAATGTTATGAGGGCATCCCATAGCACTGAGTTTTTTTCATTAGAATATCACTGTTACTGGCTGTACTGGTTTGACATCAAGAAAGCAAGCCAGTATGTCTTTGCTCATTAAAAAGGCCTCCACCACAGACATAGTCAGCATTGCAAGGTTGTCAGCGCAAGACCTTCCTGAAAACCAGCCTGAGAAGAGGGGAGAAGGTCAGAAATTTCTACCATTGAAGCCTTGTCTTAATCATTTTTTCCAATATCTTACAGAGGCAAGATGTTAAAGAGATGAGTCGGACTCCATTACCATCATTCTTATTAATGAAAAACGTAAGACTTTCCCTCCACGCTAGAGGATATATACTGAGCAAATAGATTTCATTGAGCAGATCAAGTAGTATCAGTTTGGTTGCGAGAGGCAATTTGACAATTAGAATGTATTCAATTCTGTCGGGGACGCCTTGAGGCTACAACTATTAAGAGCCAGAGTAAATTCATGAAGGCCAAACTGAGAAGGACGAATTGAGAAACCGGTTATTTTCATTAGCGTACAGTTCTGGAAAGGCGAAAGATGGTTTGGTAGGAACCCAAGGAGGACTAAGTTTGTTAATTGCATCTTCAATTTTATTTAATCGGTCTCAGTAGCCTTCATTGAATTTGACAGTGGCCCATTTATTTTTTAGGATTCTGCATTTATTTCTTCCAGACATATGTCACATCGATTTCGAAGTTGATACTTTCTGCAAATTTTCTAAAATTGTCAACTTTACATTTCTTTATATACTTTTTCGCTGAAGCTACGCGTTTCTTATATTCTATATAATCAGCTATGTTGCGTGAGTATCTCTTTTTAAGTGCAGCTTTCCTAAGACGTATGAGCTTAGTACACTGTCATTCCACCATGGAA